TGGTGCAAACCACCCTTCCGGGATTCGAAGACATCCAGCGAGCCCCTTGTGGGGAGGGTCCTAATTTGGGCGAGCGAACATAAAACCTACAACTACAGCTTATGGCAGCCGACAATGCTTACAACTATCTCAGCTCTGAACCGATAGATTATTTCCATTTTTTCCATACGAGTCTGGCTATGGTAAGAGATGCCAATTCCCTGTAGATCACAGCTCTTGGGGCACCCTAGCGTTTACAATAACTCAGAAAAGCTATTCGTGCGACGTCTCCTACCTTGTCCACTCGTCACCTTTTATGTCTCTTAGGAAATTAACTATTCGTGCCACGTCTCCTGCCTTGTCCACTCGTCACCTTTTACGTCTCTTAGGAAATGAATCACAATTCGAGCAAATGCACGTGCACTGTCATCTTTTGTAGACCTTAGGTTGTGTAGACCTTTGGAACACTTGCTTTCTTGGTCGCTTGACATTCCTTAAACTAGGCCTTGGTTGGCTCGCCTATAGCCGTGTCGATTGGATAATCGATCCAGGTGTCACGTCACCTTCTGCGTGTCACGACCTTGGAACTCGCTAACGAGTCGCTAACGTGTCGTTACGACTTAGTCCGATCTGGATTCACTCTGGCTTGATCCTTGGCTGTTCTAGTCGACCTTTGACTGAAAACAAGCCTTGTGTTCTTGAAGTTCGCCGAAGTATCAGCAACGATCTTGGTCACTTGTAGCTCTGCAACGCGTAGACCTACATTTCTGGTAGCAGCTCCTTGTTTGCTATCACTTCGACGACCTCTTTCCCAAGCCTGGTTATCTGGTTCTGTTGTCAAGACCGACCTCTTCCTGCCTTGGTACTCTGTTCTCTATGTCTGCTTCTAGCACTGGTAACTTCCACAAGAAGGATCTGGCCATAGTCGAGGAAACGGCGAAGGCTGACGCTGAGGAGGCCCAAATGGGCGCCGAGGCAGCAGCCCTCCATACTCGACTGGCCCTGGAGCACGCCAAAGACTACAACGATCTCTGTGACCTTCTGTCTGTGAGGGCTGAAGCTGGCTCTGCGGCCGCCACTACGGCTATCGGCAACGGTAGTCGTAAGGAGGAGGTTCGCATCAGCTTGCAGATGCCCGAACGGTATAACGGTACGACTGACTTTAGTGCTTGGTTACGTCGGTACGAGAACACTGCCAACGCCGCCGGTGGAGCTCTGGTACTAAGGCGGCCCGCC